AGAGAGAGAGAGAGAGAAAGAGAGAGAGAGAGGGAAAAAAAGAGAGAGAAAGAGTGGGATAGAGAGCAATAGTGAGTATGTTAGAGCGAGGGACGGAGAAAGGAGAAAAAGAGAGAGAGAGAGAGAGAGAGAGAGAGAGAGAGAGAGAGAGAGAGAGAGAGAGAGAGAGAGAGAGAGAGAGAGAGAGAGAGAGAGGGAGAGGGGGGGATTTTCACGTGTTTAGGCAAACATACTTTCCCAAAGTCTGAATCTTAATTTACCACTAAATTTTCTAATCACTAAAATTTTAATAACTGTATTAGATCTAGTGTTTTATACTGACGTCAACATAGTGATGGGTAATAAAGAAAAAGAAAATAAAAAACTGTTGAAGCAGTATTTGTTTAACTCCTTTATCAACACTGTTAGGGTTATTTAGGAGGCTGGACCTGCGAGTTTAACGTTCATCTCCGAAAGGACCGAGCCTAGTGGGAAATTCGTGTAAAGTGCCTTTCCCAAGGCAACAACATTGGACTGAGCTGAGGCTCGAAACCCCGAACCCGCAATCTCACGATTTCGAGTCCGGTAGCCTAACCACTAGGCTACCGACGCCACTTTAAGACTGAGAGAAACTGGCAGAATATATGTTCTAGTGAATTCAAAGTCTTTGAACAGCTTTTTCTGAATAAGGGTGATATATTATTCTGAAGGCACACGGTGGTTAAAGTAGTGATTTGTCAACCTCTTTATAACCAGCGCCCCCTTGTGCCACCTATAAGAGGCTAACATTTTCCTGTCATCCCCTTCTGTTTTATGAGCAAGGGTTTGTGGAGAACAATATCAATATTTTTACTTTTTCATTACACGCTATACTATCCCTGACAGAAGACGGGTATATACCCCCTGCCCACCCCGCCCTCAACTTCCCCCCTACCCCAAAAACAGCCCTTCGCCCCAACCCCCCCCCCCAAAAAAAAACCCCGAAAAAAAACAACAACCAAACGAACAAACTAGCAAACACACACACAAACAAACACCCCCCCCCCACCAGCAACAAAAAACCCCCAAACAAATACCCTCCCCTCTCCCGAACAAAAATAGGTTGATAAAAAGATTTCACCCTTCGCCTTTCAGAGCCGAGTCGAGATGCAGACACTACATGATAGACCAGCTGAAGAATGGAAAGTTCATCATTGTCGGAGAGCCCAAAGTCCATCGCTCTCTGCACGACATGGTGTCCTACCACAGAAAGGTAAGTCCCTTCTTTTGTTTGTGAGGGATCGTGGTGAAATCAGGTGCTCGTGAAAATAATGACTTTGAAGAGAAATGCATTTTCTCACCAGTTTGACAATTTGTATTACAATTTAGTTTTTTGGCTAAACACCATTTATGTTTATAATGAAACACATTGATGAATTTTACTGAAAAACCTTATTTAAAGGCACAAAATAATATGTAATTTTTAGTTTTCAAGGACTCTTAAGCTATTGAATTTACCAAACTTTGGGGGTCATTTTTTCATCAATTGAACAACTAAAAACAGGCTACCCCACCTTCTTCAATCGCAAATATCTCGACTTCAATTCAAGCCATATGGATATCTTTTTCCACTGAAAGCAAGGCACATGAATAAGCTATCCTATGATATCAATAACTCGACGTGCCTAAAAAATGATGATCGACTGATTCCACCACATTGTGACACATTTGTTATTTGGTATTGGATATTTCTACAGAAAATGTGTCAACCTGGTAGCAGTTGTTATGCTTCTAGAAGAACAGAAACTGGAAAGAATGGACATCTGTAGTAATTAATGATGACACTGTTACTGTAGCTGCTACTGCTACCTCTGCTGCTGCTGCTGCTGCTGCTGCTGCTGCTGCTGCTGCTACTGCTGTTGTTGTTGCTTTTGCTGCGGCTGCTGCTGTTGTTGCTGCTACCTCTACTGATGCTGTTGCTGCTGCTGCTGCTGCTGCTGTTGTTGTTGTTGTTGCACCCATTTGATTACCGCATTCTTCTCCCCCTCCTGTCCTAATTTCTTTATATGCGACGGCTCAGGCTTCTACTGTTCTTCCAAAAGAGGTACATGATATCGATACTATCCTAAACTAATAAATGTTTTCTTTTCAACCCAAAAGGGGAAGTTTAAAAACGGGGCCCACTTTTTGACAGTTCCGGTCCTTGTGGTCAGGTAAGGCCGTCAAAAATGTTTACCGAGGTTTTCAGTACTCTTTAATTTAAAACCCGAGACCGCGACCCAGTGTTTTTTTTTGGGGGGGGGGGGGGGGGGCTCTCGTTGCCTAGAATAAGGTGTTCGCCCCTCATTCCAAGGTTCCGGGTTCGAATCCGGGTAGCGACGGAAACATTTTCTTCTAAAAAACTGTCTCCTTTCACCCCCTTTCCTGCTTTCTAGTAATGTTCTGTCGTCTGCTTTTGTCTCCATTTTCTGCCCCTCCATCCCCTCACCTCCTTCGCCCGCTCCTCTGGGCTCCTGATTCTTTCTGCAGCCTTTCTACTGCTAATCCGTAGCTCCTTCTTACATCTGTCTTTCAGCCACACTCGTGATCTTCTGGTAGGAAAGATCAACACCTAGCCTTCTCGGACAAGGGCAAGAAATTTCAGAGGTCCCGTGTGCAAGTTCCGCACCTTAAAGACCCCCCGCTGGTCTAAAATCGATAAGAGTGGGCTTCGGCTGCCAACTGTGCAAAATTCAAAATTTCCTACAAACTGAAAATTAATGTTGAATGTGTCCCGCACTCTCATATGACCTTATGCAGTTGAGAGCGCCGTAAAACGCTTTTTTTAAAAGTGTTTGTTCATTGAGTCCACATTATTAGCCATGACTCAAGAGGCAACGGCTTTTATTGTAAACCAACCTTTACATTATGTGTATGTGTATGTGCTGGTGTGTGAACGTGTGTGTGTGAACGTGTGTGTGTGTGTGTGTGTGTGTGTGTGTGTGTGTGTGTGTGTGTGTGTGTGTGTGTATGTGTGTTTGGCTAGGATTGTGAGAGTGAGTGAGTGAGTGGGGAGACAGAGAGTGAGAGAGAGAGAGAAAGAGAGAGTGTGTGTGAGAGAGGGAGAGCGAGAAAGATAGATAGAGAGAGAGAGAGAGAGAGAGAGAGAGATAGAGAGAGAGAAAGAGAGAGAAAAGAAGAGAAATGAGGGGGATAGAGAGTGATCATGAGAATGTTGGATCAAGGGACGGAGAAGGAAGAAAGAGAGACACAGAGAGAGAGAGAGAGAGAGAGAGAGAGAGAGAGAGAGAGAGAGAGAGAGAGGAGGAAAATTTGTATGAGTGTGGGCAGACATACTTACCCAACGACTGCATCTTAATTATTTTATGACTTATCACCCCTCCCTTCCCTGCATTTCATCATCGTCAATGCCTTTCACCCCTGGCAGGGCATAGGCCACATACAAGCTCCTTCCATTTATCTATCTCCTGGGCCATCCTTCCAAACTCGTTCCAAGTCAACTTCATCTCTCTCGTGTCTCTTTCCAAGCATCTTCTCCATGTTCCCCGTTGCCTACCCCTGCCTCGTGCTCCCTGTGGTTTCCACTGCAGTGACTGTCTTGTGATGTTTCGGCTGGGCTTTCTTTCCCTGCATTTACCAGTATAATAATACACTAATCTTTTCTCCTCTTTTGTTTAGGAGACTGGGGAATGTGATTACTCAGATCTTGTGAACGAGGACGTCTACTTTTTGCTGGATGCAGAATATCAGGTAAGTCAAAGATCGCTACAGTGCTTTTGAGACTTTTCACAAGCATTGGGCACGTTTGTGTGTTAAAAAACAAAACAAATAAGACCATTTTTGGGTGTACCAAGTTGTTACGAATTCAGACGTCTACGTAATTTATGACATTTCAGCTCTTTTATGAGAATAAGGAAGTTAAAGTTTGTCTATATATATACGCTCCTCAGCAAAGTTGTATCACTAAACGAAAATTACTATCAAAGACAAGGGTTTCAGATTCTGTAGGAGATGTACAATTTAGGTCATTTCCGAAAATCTGAAACTAATGCCACATCTAAGATCGCGCGGGGTACCTCCTACACATTATGAAACCAAGGGATAATATCTTCAAAGAAAAATGAAAAAGCCCCCCCCCCCCCCCTTTCCCCCAAAAAATAAAAAGAAAGAAAAAAAAGACAGAAATACCAAACAAGCCCAGCGCATACTGTGAAGTAAGGAACATAATTGTATTTCACAGGTGACCCATATAATTCATTTAAACATTATAAACTAACTGCGTCGAATCGGAACACAGATTCACATAATTGAGAGTTCCCAGAACATGTCTTTTGAAATTCTCATTGTGTATTTGATTTGTTAAAAAAAAAAAAATTCCCTCGGGGGTGGAGAAGTTCATTAAGAAATGCAAAATAGTTTGGTACTAGGATGCCTTGTAACAGAAAAACCCAAACCCCCTTCACCCACACACACTGAGTTTGACAGTTCTTTTTTTTTAATTTGAAGAGATTCTAATTGCTCAATGTGCATTTTGAGCTCCCCCAAGAGACAGAGAAAGAGAGAGCGAGAAAGAGCGAGAGAGAGAGAGAGAGAGAGAGAGAGAGAGAG